TACAATAAGCTCCAGAAATTATTGACCTTCTTCTGCTACAGCTTTCTTTAGAGCACAGTGACTATCTATATTCAACTTAGAACTCAAGAGTATCTCCAAGTGGACTTTAAGGACATTGGTCTCTGCTGTAAGGGGAGTTCAGTTTTCTGTGGTTTTCCATGGCAGCTCGGCGGTGCAGTGCATAGAGTGCTGGATCTAAAGTCAGGAAGATCTGAGTTCAAATCCAGGCTAAGACATTTACTAGTGGTGTTAGAACTGGATAAATAGATCTGAGCATTTTTGGCACAGAAAACTATTTAATCCATAGCATCACCAAGAGAAATAGTACAGAGGAAGAAGAATAGAGGGACTTGGATAGAGATTTGGGGGATTCCCAAAGTTAGTGAGCATGACCTAGATGAAGAACTAGGACTGAATAGTAAGAAGCAGTGTGGAAAAATTGATAGGAAGAGAACCAGGGGAGAGCACAGTCACAAAAACTTAGAGAGAAGAGAGTTTTAAGGAGAAGAGAGGTGATCTACAATGTCAAAGGCTGCAACAAGGTCAAGAATGATGAGGATTTTAAAGAGGACAGTGGATTTGGTAAGTAAGAGATCATTGGTAATATTAGAAAGGGTAGTTTTGGCTGAAAAATTGGGTCAGCAGCCAGACTGTAGAGAATTAAGAGTGAGAGGAAAGAGAGTGAGGGTATTGCTTGTAGAGCACCTTCTCCAGGAGTTTAGCCACAAAAAGGAAGAGACATATGGAACAAAGCTACCCGAGGCATATAGATCAACTGGTTTTTTGAGGATGATGGTACATAGGCATGTTTGGAGGGGTAGAAAAGGTTACTGGAAGTTGAATTGTTGATAGGAGAAAGAAAGACAGAAAAGAGAGATGGAGACAGAAACACAGAGATAAAGGCAGACAGAGAAATAGAGATAGAGACAGAAAGAGACAAAAAGACAGAAACAGAGACAAAAAGATGGAGATGGAGAGAGATAGACAAAAACAGAGACACAGAAGCAGAGAGAAAGAGTATGTATAGAGACCTTATCTAATTGAAGCCCACTTAGTATTAGTATGCATTATCTTTGCCCCAAGAACAAATATGCGTTGTTAGAAGGAATTTCCTCACTGGGAGGTCCTTAGAGCGAATGCCATAATAGATTTGGTCCAAAAAAGACCCCGGATATAAAGTAGGTGAAAGAGAAGAGAAGAGGAGAGAGAGAGAGGGTGGGGTAGGGGGAAAGGAGGAAGGATTCTTCTAGAAGACTAAACAGTTGAGAACAATCCAATCTCTGGCAAGTCCTACGAAGATGAAAAGACTTCTAGGAAGGTAATTGAATGTGTCTGCTTTCTGAAGACCAACCTAACTGAGGAAAAGCTCAGCTCCAGTTTGCCACCGAGGGATGAACAGACACATACATGTGAATAAATGTGTATTTACAGATATACATATAAATATAAATATATGTTTATACATATGTTTACATAAATACATTTATATGTATGTGTATTCAAATGGATACATGATCTATTCATTCCAGAAGCTTCACCCTGCTGCAATGCTGAATACAACTCATCCATGCCTGACAGTCTTGCATGACTCTCATCCATGCCCTCCCAAAACTTCACCATAGGAGTTCCACCTAATATGCTGGAAGTCTTCATCACTTTCTCCTGACATCACCAGGGTACTAATGAAGCACTCTGGCTATCTATCTCTCACTTTTCCCACAAGACCGGCCTCCTTCCATACAGATCTTTGATATAACATCCTTAGTCCCACTCTTGCTCAGAGTTCCTTGTTGGTCATATGTTGCAATCTGCTCACACCCACTATGTGTGGGATCACACCTTTGATACGTAAGCACATAAGCATGTGTGTGTTTAATAGATGTAGGGATGTATGCCGGGGAAGGAGGAGAAGCAGCTGTAGATTTCTGGTGTAGTAAAAACACTGTTAGTCCCAGAGTCAGAAGGATCTGCTGCAAGCCTCTTCTTTCATATATACTGGTTGTGTGAACACCAACCAGTCACCGCCTCTCATTGCCCCAAGGGTCAATCTGTACTGTTAGGAGGAGTTTCCTCACTGGGAAGTCCTTATATCAAATGACATAATAGATTTGGTCCAAGAAAGACCCTGGATATTTGCTATATGAAAGAAAAGAGGAGAGAGAGAGATTGGAGAAAGAATAGGGATGAGAGAGACAGAAAGAGAAAGAGAAAGACAGAGACAGAGAGAGGTGGGGGAGAGAGACACAGAGAGAGAGAGAATAGAGGTGAGAGAGAGAGAGACAAAGAGGGAGAGAGAGAGAGAGAAGAGAGAAGAGAGAGAGAAAGGGAGGAAGGAAGTATAAAAGGAAAAGAAAAAGAGGGATATAGGGAGGGAAGGAAAAAGGAAGAAAGGAAAGGAGGGAGGAAGCAAAGAAGGGAGGAAGATATATACATACATATATATTTATCACACATTTGGTTTACATACATAGCAGGCCACAACTACTTACTCCAACACAATTCCTTCATCTATTACCTTACTATGCCATCTCCTAAATGTGCCCTGTCTTTCCCAGGCATCAGTTCCTTGGGTTGTTAGGACCTAACCCATGACCCAGGTGATCTCAGTGCAGGTGCCACTAGGAAAACTCCTCCCCTGTCCCAGCCTCCCCTTAACCTATCCTCTGCATTACCTCATGCTGTAACAAGCACCCCTGGGCTGGCTCTGGGCTCCAGGGCAATGGCCAGCGAGAAGAAAGGGCAAGACCCTCACCCTTTTTCATTTTCAGTAGGATGGACTGAGTCACACAGGATGAGCAGGAATGGATGCGTTGTTATAGACACTGCAGATCTCATTCTCTTTCTATCTAAACTCATCCGTCTTCTGAACTTACCTCTTCTCTCTAGAGAACACAACTATTCTTCCAGTCACCCAAGTTAATAACTCTGATGTCATCCTCAACTCTTCGCTCTCCCTCCCCCTCCCCCATCACAACCAATCTGTTGCCAAATTTTGTTTTACCACTTCCAAGACATCTCTTGCATCTGTCCCCTCCTCACTGCTCATATCCATGGTTCTGGCTCTCAGCACCTCTCACCACGACTATTGCAAGAGTCTCCTAATGGATCATCTCCCCCCTCCAGTGTACTCCTTCTCCAAACAATCCTCCCTACAGCCACCCGTGTGATTTTCCTAAAACACGGGTGCTGATTACACCACTTGCCTACTCCAGTAAATTCTATCAAGTTCCCAGGAACTCATCTGTTTGGTATTTAAAAACTTTGGCAGCCTGGTCTCACTCTATCTTAGAGAGTCTTAGACTCTTTTACTATTTTTCAGCAAAACTGGACCTTGTAAACAACACGCTATCATGCATTCTTGCCTTTGGACTTGCTAGTTTCCATGATTCACCTTAGCTGGCCCCCATGCCTGAAAGGCACTCCTTTCCCACCTCTGCCTCCTGGACTCTTCTGTTTCCTTCACAGGTCAGATCAAGCACCACTTCTGCATGAAGTCTTTCCATGCCTCTAAACCACCAGTGTCTTCCCTTCCCAAATTAGCTTATATGTATATATATATATGTATGTATATATGTATATATATGTATATATGTATATATAAAAACATATTATGCGAATAGAGTTATTTATAACATAAACATATACATATATTTATAATATAAACACACATATATTTATAATATAAACATATACATATATTTATAATATAAATATATATCTATAACATAAGTATACACATATATTTGTAAAATACATATATGCATATGTTTATAATATACACACATGCACATACTTATACATATGTGCACATAGATATTATATACATATATGCATATAGTTATAATACGCATCTATGCATATATTTATATTCTTCTACCCCATAAGAACATAAGCTCCATGAGGGCAGAGTCAATTTCATTTTTGTCTTTATATGCCCAGCACCTAGTAAATACACTATTGGGCACATATGAGGTGTATAACAAATGAATATTGATTGATTGATTAATTATTGGAGGTAACTTCCAAATAGATGAGATTTTACCTGCTTGATTTCAATGCCTACAAGCTTAGTTGAGTCCTTGAATTCATGAAAAGAATAAGAAGAATAATATATTATTTCATTTGAAAAATGATGTAAGAAGAGGTATGTAATACACTGTAAAAAAAAAAAATGGCAGAGTTGTACAATCAAATACTGGAAAATGCCATGAGGGATTTTTTAAATTCAGCATTGGCTGTCCCCCAGCCCCACCCCGTGCCGGATTGCTCTCCCTCCCAACAACTGAGTAGAACCTCCAGCTTCCTATAAACTTAGCTAAAGCAGTAATAATACCAGCCAGCATTTATACAGCGCTTTAAGGTTCGCACAGCGCTTTGCGTGTCTTATCTCATTTGATCCTCATAAAAAATCCTTGGGGGGTGGGGGCAGGTATTATTATTATCCCCATTTTATAGATGAGAAAACGGAAACTGGGAGAGGTTCGGTGACTGGCCCAGGAGCACACAGTATCAAGTATCGGAGCAAAGCAAACAAGTATCGGAGGCAAAATTCAAACTCAGATGTTCTTGCTTGCCAGCGCTGGGGACTTAAAGAAGAGATATGAGCTATCTTTAGAGGAAAGACAGTGGGATAATAATAGCATCTACTTCACAGGTTTGTTGTGGGGCTCGGATGAGGTAATATTCGTAGAAGCACTTAGCACGGTGCCTGGCAAGTAGTAGACACAAGTGCTTTAGGGGTCTCCAAAGCTCTGACACCCGTCTTGTGCTCCACCACCCTTTCCCCTCAGCTCAGCTCTGATGCTGTTTCTAAGGCTTTATTACCGAACAGTAAAGATTGGGGTGACGTTGATAAGCACAGGCTTGAAGCCTATAAAGTCTTAAAGCCCTGTTTCTCCCATACACTGTCTCCCTTCTCTGCCCGCCCCCAGCTGTCATTCGGATCCTGTGGCCCCGCCCAGACCTCTAGGGGTGTGGGGATGGGCAGGGGCAAGTGCTCGGGCCAGTGTGGGGTGCCTTAAAGTCTCCAAACTCTGATCGCTGTCCAGAGGAGTCAGATCTCCGGAAGGGAATCACAGCGTTCATAGGGACTGCAGTAACTCCTGCAGCAACAGAGCAGGACGTGAGTGGGGGAGGCTGGGGAGGGGAAATGGAGCTCAGGTCTGGGCCCACTGGCAGCTGGGGAACTGAGGTGGGCAGTGGGTTCATCCGCATGGGGCTGGGATGGGGAGAGAGGGGTAGCAGGGAGGGAAAGAGTGTCCAGGCCAGGCAAGGGTAGGGGGGAGGCTGCCAAAAGAATCATGTGATCTAAACTACCTGGTCTCTTCTGCTGCCCAGATTAGCCTTTTCACTGGCTCCCAATCTAATGCCCCTTCCTCCCTCTTCCCCTAGTATCACCCTTTCCCCTACAGCTCCTCACTCTTTTCAATTTCACCTCCACCTCCAGCATGCTCCTCTCCCAGCATCCTTCTCCTTCCACCAAAGATCTCCCTTCCACAGGATTTTCTCTCCTCCTTCAGTGTCCACCTTATCTTCCTCTAGCCCCCTCAAGGACTCTTCCCAACCAACATTTCTCCAGTCTTCCCAGGAGCTCTCCTTTTCAGTCCCCCCCTCCCAACTCAGTCCTCCTCTTCTCACCTTCTCTTCAGTATCTGGAGGCTGGGCTAGGTTTTTGAGTGTCAAGAGGGTGACTCATCCTGATGAGATGATCCCTATGAATTCTTAATGTTTCCAGATTGGAAAAACATCCACCTAGCCACACCCAGCTGAAGTCCTCCATGATTTATCCCTACAGTCCAGTATCCCTTTTGAAATTCCCATGAAAGTAGCTCAACCAAGACTCCAAGTGAGGGTACCAATACAAGATTTAGACAAACAGTGAAGGGCATAGACCAGGTTTTTCTTCACTACACACTTAAGATATTATTCCTTGTATTTAACTGTAATCTCTCTTGATGTATTGGAGTTCCTTTTCCTGAGTGGAGACAGAAATAATTTCTTAGTTTTCATTAATGATAGTGCTGTCTTCTTAGAGTTTGAGGGGAACTATTATTCTGGATCTGATTCTCACCCCAAAAGAACTGAGAACTAGAATAATGGAAATCATGGGAAATGGGAGGTTTTGTGTGTGTGTGGGGGGGGGTGTGTGTATGTGTGTGTGTGTGTGTGTGTGTGTGTGTGTGTGTTTGGGGAGAGAACGTCATGTAACCCTCATCTCAAAGTTTCTGAAAGAGAAAGAAGAGAAAACTAGAAATAGAATGTTGTGTGCCCGGCAGATTGGGAGAGCAGATTTCAAAGGGTGTGGAGAAAGGTTGAGTAGGAACCCACAGGGAAAGTCAGCCCAGAAAGAGTTGGTGAGATATGAAGAAAGACACACTATTCTGATGAAGAAGAAAAAGGGGAAATATCTAAAGCAGGTTTCTAAACTTGGGTAGATTTCAGAAGGTCTGTGATTCTATTTTTTAAAAAAAAGACTTTTATAACTATTTTAATGTTTCCTTTGTTGTCTTAAGTATTTTATTTTATACATTTAAAAGTGTGATTCTGACTAAGGATCTATAAGCTTCACTAGACAGCCACAGGGGTCAATGACACAAAAAAGGTTAAGCATCCATGGTCTACAGATACTGTTATGGATGCACAAATTGCTAATTAGCCCACTCAGTTGTTTGAAAGACACAGGAGATGGAGGCAAGGATGGGTAATAAAACCGTGGTCCTAATATCAGTAATAATAACTGGCAAAGTGAGCACTAAGGACAATAAAAGTGATATTTTGGAGGTTTTTAAAAAACATGTATCGGTGGGGCAGCTAGATAGCTCAGTGGATAGAGCCCTGGACTTGGAGTCAAGAGGACCTGAGTTCAAATCCAGCCTCAGACACTTGACACGTACTAGCTGTGTGACCCTGGGCAAGTCACTTGACCCTGATTGTCTCACCAAAAAGCTAAATAAATAAAAAGTAAAATAAATCCACATATCAGGGAAAGGCAGAAGGAAGGGTGGGGCAATGAAAACCAACAGTAGGAAGAAGGCAGAATAATTCAACTTTTATTTTGCTTCTGATATCTCTACCAAGGTGAATGACCTCTGGAATGGAAAGAGGAGGACAAAAATGGCCAGTTGGGAGTTGATGCCCCAGATAAGTGGGGAAATAGTAAGAAAGCTTTTTTTTATGAGTCTCTAGGTCTACATGGATGACATCCCAGAGGAATGAGTTGGTGGACAGATTTGGGGAGCCACTTCCAGTGACCATCCAAGGATCCCTGTTAACAGGAGATGTATGGCAGGGCTGGGAAACTGCCAATGTTCCAAATTTCAAAAAGCATAGAGATTGTCATCTGTAAACTCTAAGCAAGTGAGCGTGGCTTTGATTCCTGGCTAAGTTCTAAAACATATTATTAAAGGGATGATTTGAAAAAGAAGTAATTACAAAGAGCCAGTCTGACTTCATCAAACACAAGTTATGCCAGATGAACCTAATTTCCATTTTCTTCTAGGGTAGACTGGTAAATCAGGGGAGTTTTTTAGATACAGTTTGTCTGGATTTCCAACACCCATTTGACCAAGTCTATCAAGTTATTATTGTACACAAGATGGAAAGATATGGGATGACAGACAGTGTAATTAAGTGAATTCAAAAGCAGTTAAAAAGCTAGACACAAAGGGATGATGATTCCATGTGAACTTGAGAGGAAACTTCTGGAATGCTTTCAACATCTGTTCTTGGCCCTTACTGTTTGATTTTATTTTCAATTACTTTGATGAAGGCATAGATAACATACTTACAAAATTTGCAGATAACACAAGGTTGAGGGTATTGCTATCTTGACAGATGACAGTCAGGGCATAAAACATTCTACAAAGGCTAGAAGACTAGACCAAACCTAAAGTGATTAAATCTAAATGATAAGCCCTTAGAGAGACAGTTTAGAGTGGAGGATAGCTTGGTGGACTTAGAGTAAGGCAGACAGGGATTCAAATCCCACTTCTGACATTTGTTAGCTTTGTGAACATGGGCAAGTCACTTAACCTCCATGGGACTCAGGCTTAGCCTTGAACATGTATTTACTCAATTATGAACAGATTTCAATCCATGTGCATAACCCCCAAAGAGCCTACCTTGTTCTTTTAGCCATTTTTCAGTCATGTCCAATTCTTTGTGACCCCATTTGGCAGAAATACTAGAATGCTTTACCATTTCCTTCTCCAGCTCATTTTACAAAGTAAGAAACTGAGGCAAACAGGTTAGGTGACTTGCCCAGGGTCACAAAACTAGTAAATGTTTGAGGCCAGATTTGAACTCAGGTCTTTCTGACTCCAGGCCTGGCACTCTGTCTACTATGCTACCCAGCTGCCCCAAAGAGATTACAGGTCAGTCTGATAATACTGAAAAAGACTACTGATCGGTATTATCAAATACTAACATGACATAAATATAAAGCATTATACTCAGGTTCCAAAATAAACTTTATAAGTACAAGATGGAGGAGGTAGGGTAGAGAATCATTTGTCTAGTGGATTACAAATCCAATATGAATCAATAATATGATGTATTTCCCACCCCACCAAAAAATTAATTTAATTTTAAGCAATACTGAGAGGAACAGAATGCAGGACTAGGGAGGTGATAGTCACATACTGTGCCTGGATCAGACCATATTTGAAGTTATTGTACTTGGTTCTGGGTGCCATACTTTAGGGAGGTCATCTATAATCTGGAGAATGTCCAAAGGAAGGTAAGAGGTCTCAAGGTCATACTTTATGAAAATTGGTTGAAGGAACTGGAAATATTTAGCCTGAAGAAAAGAAGAATCATTGGGGGTGGGGCATGAGAGCTATTTTCAAGTATCTGAAGGGATATCATATGGAAAAGGGAATAGACTTGCTCAGCCTAGCCCCAAAGGGCAGAACTAAGAGAGAAGATGGATAGAACCTGAAGAAGCAGACTTAGGCTTAATGTTAGGAAATATTCCTAATGATTAGAGCTGTCCAAATGATCTTCCTTGGGAATATAGGGGAGATAGGAAACTTCCACCATTCTGTATCTTCAAGAGAAGACTGATTGGCCATTGAACAAGGAACATAATCAATAGTCAGTCAGTCTTCACTTGAAGACATGGAATGGTGGGAAACCCACTATCAGTTCAGATATGGATTACACTGGAAAGCTAGCTGGTGCAAGTGGATAGAATGCCAGGTCTAGAGTCAGGAAGACTCATCTTTCTGAGTTCAAATCCTGCCTCAGACACTTACTAGCTGTGTGACCCTGGGCAAGTCACTTAACCCTCTTTGCCTCAGTTTCCTCATCTGTAAAATGTGCTGGAGAAGGAAATGGAAAACCACTCCATATCTTTGCCAAGAAAACCCCAAATGGGATCACAAAGAGTCAGACATGACTGAAATGACTAAACAGCAACAGTGGAGATTTAGGACCTTGCTTCAAAGTCTGGCTCACTACTTATTGCCTTGGGTGATTTGCTTGGGCAAATTGCTTAACTTCTCTGGAGCTCAATTTCCTCATCCATAAAATGAAAGGATCCTTTCTATCCCTAAATGTCGTAACTCTTGCCTGGAATGTTCAAAGAAAACCTACCTGTAGGTTTGGGGCCTTGAAGGAGGATTTTGATAGACATGGGGAAAATGGGAAAGGGTATGAACGGAAGTGGGAATGCATTAGGGTTGGTGAACAGTCCTTAAGTTCCCTATCAACTCCTTCTTCTTGTTCCCTACAGCATCCCCTAGGCTGAAACAATCTTGCCTGTGGCTACCACCTCCTGCCCCAGCTCAACACCACCCTCTACACTCCCCGGCACCTTCAATCATGAAGTCCTTTTTAGTCATGTTCTTTGTAATCATCATCATGACCAAGCAAGTTGGTAAGGGGGATGGATATTTTGACTTCCAGGGGTCAAGATGGGATAAATGAGACATTCAGAAGTGGGCAAGGAGGTTATATGCTAGGATTCTGATCCCTCCCATCTTACCTCATTTTGGTGACTCCTTCTCAAAAAGGGATGCCAAGAATCTAGGGTGGTTTCCTTTGGATCAACATCAGGGAAAACTTCAGAGAAGTTTCAAAGGGGAATGAGCTGCCTCAGGAAATAGTGAGTTCCCCATCACTAGAGTTCACATGGAGGTGGAGGACCATTTGTCAAGGATGTTATGGAGGGGATTGAGCCAGATGCCTCTGAAGTCTCAACTTTGAGATTCGATGTTTTGTTTGTTTTGTTTTTTAACTATGGGAGAAGTACCAGTTCTAAGTCCTTGATGGGGTGGGAGGGTGGGGAGTGGCAGAGAACACAAGATGGGTGCTGCCATTTGACTGGAGATATTGGGGATTGCGATGGAAAAAAAGTCTGCCCAGGGGCCTTCTCTCTGATGAGAACAGCTGTGGTCAGAGCCCTACAGTACCCTTGAAGGCTCATTAGAAGGGAGCATCTTTCCCCTTCTCAGGTCTGGCTGGGTCTCCAGGCAGAAAGAAGGTGAGATGGGGATACTGGGCAGAATGGCTTCCAATGACGGATCATCTGTAACACTGTGGTTTCTATCTGACCTCTTTCAGCGCAAGCTCTGGATTGCCATGTCTGTACAGCTAATGACAATGACTGCTCAAACCCAGTGCACTGTCCAGGACTATCCATCTACTGCAAGACCATTCGGGCCTGTAAGTTAGCTCCTGGATTCCCCTTAGGAAAGTTGGAGGGTAGAGATAATGAGAATAGACATTGATATAGTACCTACTATGTGCCAGGCACTGTGCTAAGCACTTTTACAAATGTTATCACCTTTGATCTTCATGACAACCCTGTGAGGTAGGTGTTCTTATAATGTCCATTTTACAGCTGAAGAAACTGAAGCAAACAGGTTAAGTGACTTGCCCAGGGTCACACAGCTTCTAGTATCTGAGACAGGTTAAGAAATTAGGCTGAATGAGCTAATGAACAGGGAGAGATAAAACAGAAGCTTCCTTGATGAGATGAGGCAAAGCAGTGGAAGGAAGGATGGGGAGAGAACAGTAGATAATGAGAAGAGAGTGAATGTGATTTTTGAAGGAATGTTCTGTCAGGGGCAGCTAGGTGGCACAGAGGATAGAGCACCAGTCCTGTAATCAGGAGGACCTGAGTTCAAATGTGGCCTCAGACACATAACACTTACTAGCTGTGTGATCCTGGGCAAGTCACTTAATTCTGATTGTCTCACTAAAAAAAAAATGTTCTAAGAAATCAAGAATATTATTAATTATAATACTAATGATATTATCTAAAGCAGGGGTGGGGAACTTGAGGCCTTGAGGCCACATGTGGCCTTCTAGATCCTTAAGTTTGCCTTAATTGGATTCAGTCAAAAGACTGCATTTAAAGATTTAGAAGGCCACATATGGCCTCAAGGCCTCAGGTTCCCCACCCCTGATTTCTAAAGTGAGTAAAGGCTTGTCATAGCCCCGTGTTGCAGATGAGGATTGCTGGACATAATGGGGTAAGCTCTGGATTTAGAATTCTAAGATCTGGGCTTGTTACTTACTGGCTCTGTGACCTTGCCCAAGTCACTTAAGGTCCCTAGGCCCTATAAAATGTGAGGTTTGGACCAAATGGTCTCAAAGACCCTAATTCCTGCTCTCATTTGCCTGGGTTCAGATCCAGGTTCTCTTGACTTGAAAAATTCATGGTTTGTATAGTGGTTGGATTCAGTGACTTTTAAGGTCCTCACTAATGAGATTCTAGTTCAATGTGCCAGATTGGAAGATCCTGAACAGTGAGCAGGGGGTTTGGAAATTTACTCTATGGACAGGCGGGGAGCCAGGGAGGGGAGGCCCAGGAAGGGGTTGAGCCTGAGAGAAAAGACATGAGCTCTAGTCTGAGGGTTATGTGTCCCAAGGATCCCGAGATTGGTCAGTGGATAGAATACCAGGGAGGACCAAAGTGGCAGTGAGGGAAAGGAAAGGTAGTGGCTAAAAGCAAAAGCCAATGACTCAACTCAATGTAACAAGCATTTATTAAACGCCTACCATGTTCTGGATCATGAGCTCTGCCCTAGTACATCAGGGATGAAAAATGATACAACCTCTGCTTTCAAGTAGTCGGCAGTCTAAAAGGCAGAGAGGGAATGTGTGCACAACTATATTTGATACGAAGAATGCAATGTTGAGGCTATCAAATAAGGGATCTGTTCGCTTATTGACTTTCCTCCCTCTCTGGTTGTGTTCAGACTCTCCAGTTGTGGTCTACAAATCCTGTGCGGCCAGCTGCACCAAAGATGGCGTGGAGGAAATCCAGATAAAACAAAATGCCAAGGTGTCCTGTTGCCAGACAGACCTGTGTAATGGGGCTGCCTCCCGCTCCTCAGGTCTCATCCTCACTGGGCTCCTCAGCATCTTCTGGGGTCTCTTTACTCTTGGCTTCTGAGCTATAACTAGCCGTCACACAGGTGGATAAATGAACTTTCCTCCCCTCCTTTGGACTTATAGCTCAGCCTGGCTCCCAGGTGAGAGAGCGAGACTGTTCCCATCCTCCCTTTGTCACTAGACCCCACACAGAGCACTGGGCAGCTTCCAGCCCCACCTCCATCACGTTCCACCCCCTTACTGGTATGTCTCTGTTTGGGTCCTGATTTTCCTATCAGTAGAAGAGACCTGGCAATCTTCCTGATACCTGGGGGTGAGGGTGGAGGATGACTCTTATGATAAGATCTTGATTTGGAAGGGAATCCCAGAATCCCAGACTTGGAAGGGACCCCAGACAGCATCCCATGCAACCTTCATTTGAGCAGCAATCCCCTCTATGCAATTTCTAGGCCTGCTTCCTAATTTTGCTCTCCAGGACCAAGCCAACCAACTCGAAACTATGGCCTTCACATGTTTGAAGACAGCTATTATTTCCCTTCTTCCTCTGCCCCTGTAAATCTTCTCTTTTATAAGCTACAATACACCCCAACGCCCCTCCCCAGTCCCTTCAACCAGTCCTTGTATGGCAGGGGACCTCATAGATCATCTTATTTTAGCCTCTCCTCTGTAGAAAATCCCTGCTTGTCTAACACAGGTAGGAAGTGACAAAGGTAAGATTTGAACCCGGGTTCTTTGGCTTCAAATCTAGGAGTCTTTCTACTACATCACAGTTTGTTCTCTGTGGAAAAAGTCCCAGTCTCTGACCCCCTTCCAGGGTGGCTTTCCAGTTACTTTGAGGTTTCAGGACTGTCTTAAAGAATGCCTGAGGGGAATGAGAAGAAAGATCTCTTGGATCCCTCCTGCCCCTTGTGGGGAGGGGAAGGGGGCGATAAATACAGAACTCCAATAGCTGCTCTTGGAGTGGCTCTACCCCCGCAGTCTCAAATGCTTATTGGTCTGGCAGATGTCACCCCAGGCTATTTCTACAAAAGGGAAAGCAGAGGGAAAGCAGCCAGGCTGGCATTGGCCCTGAAAGAGAATCTCTGGAGGGAACAGAACCGTTTGGGCTTTTTTTAGCTGCCCTATACAACCCTGGACTGGGAAAACATGGCCTCTACCCTCAAGGCATCTCTCCCTGCCCCTCCTTCCATTGTGAAAGGGCAGATATGACTGTTTACTCCAGTTACCTCTTCCAAGGGAAATAGGAGAGACTGAGATTGTAGGAAGAGGAGGCCGGCTAAAACAGCCCAGTCATACTACTGGCAGACCTACCACTCTTTGGCTACAGATCTGAGGGTCTAAGGGATCAGCTGCCCCCCTTGCTATCACCTACCTGTGGGGATGTAGGTAACATGTTTCATCGTCCATCCTCTGGAGTCAAAGACCCCCTCATCTTTTTTTTTTTTTATAGCTGAGGAAACTGAGGTCCAAAGAAGAAAAGAGGCTTGCCCAAGTTTACGTACAGCTAAACAGTAAATAATAAATAGAGCATGGACCAGAACCTAGGTGAAGCAATGGATAGAGTGCTAGGCCTGGAGTCAGGAAGACCTGAGTTTGAATCTTGCCTCAGATACTCACTGTATGAACCCGGGCAAGTCACTTCACCTCTGTCTGCCTCAGTTTTTTTCACCTGTAAAATGGGGGTAATAATAGCACTTGCCTCCCAGGGTTATTGTGAGGATCAAATGATATCAGATTTGTAAATCACTTAACACAGTGCCTGGTTTATAGTAGGCACTATATAAATGCTTGTTTCTTTCCTTCTGACCCCCAAATTCAAGATTCTCTGCACTTTGTCTTTTATTCCTGGAAAGGAACTTAGTGGTCATATATAAGGCTCCCCTCACTCCCCACACACACCATTTATTGAGGTCAATGATGCATCCTCCAGAGGTCTGGCTGACATAAATTAGGGAGGGGAGGTCCTAATAATCAGATCCAACCAAATGTAGAGTGGGATGCCTTTAAAGGCAATCATGTCAGAAGAGCTGAGAACCTCTTGTCAGGTACAGGTTGAACTAGGTACACTGATCACAGGATCATCATAGAGCAGGAAAGAACCTGAAAAAACATCTTTTACAACCCTTTCCTTTTACACATGAGGAAACTGATTCCCCTAGAGGTCAGTACCTTTCAGGCAGTCAGCACCAAAGACAGGTTTTGAACCCAGGGGCCTCCAATCCTAGAATCAATACTCTTTCCCCCAACAACTCTGAGGTTCTGTGGCCAAGGCTTGTAGAGGAACCATTCTCTTTTATCAGTGGCATAGCTCTAAGAAGTCTGTCCCCTACCTCTTAACCCTATCCCTGATATCTAAATCATGTTTATGCCAGCTCAACCATCCTACCCTTCATCCTCTCTCATTCCACCCTCTCCTGTTTCTATAAACTCAGCATTCACACAGGCCATTCATTCCTCATGCTTGGAATGCACAGACCCTCCGTGTTCTCCAGGGGAAATCCTTGTCACTCAAGGCCAAGATGGAGATGCATTCTCCTGGCTCTATTGCATGAGATCTGTGTGAGCCCAGGTACTTGGAAAGACTTGTATGAAGTGATGCAAAGTGAAATAGCAGAACCAGGAAAACATTGTACTCAGTAACAGCGACATTGCATGCTGTGTGAGCCTGGGGAAATCCCTTCAATTTTCTGGGCCTTGGTTGCCTTCCCTGTAAAAATGAAGAGAATGGACTAGATCTCTTTTATCTGTGACATTCCAAGTGAGATTGTTCCCAGGTTCTTCCCCTACCCCATCCTCAACTTTAACCCCCCTCCCCCCCTCAGCTGAAAGTATTGTGCCCCCCCACCGATTTCTCCTGGAGCATTTTGCCTCTCTCCTTTCCCTCCATCCCCTTCTGTTCCTTTGTGTACCTCTTATGTCCCCCTCAGTAAACTGAGGGTTGCCTTCAGGTCAGGCATGCCTCAGGTCTTCATCTTTGTACCCACATCATGATTTGTGCATGATAGATGCTTAATATGTTTGTTAAGTTGAGATAGAATGCCCAGGAAAGAAGCCGCTTCCCTGGCAAAAGCATCCCTGAAAGATAGACTTCCTTCTTCTGCCTGAATACTCTCAGGAATGGGGAGATCTAGTCATCCTAAATCTGTATGGTCCATTGTTGGCCACTAACCTGAAACCTACCCAGTCCAAAGTGCTCCTACCCACTTCAGAACTCTCCAAAAATCCTGTTGAGTATGATAATCATAATAATGTTAAAATAATAATTCATATGTTTGAGAGGAAACAGGGTGTAGTAGAAAGAGTACTGAATGAGGAATCTGGAGATGCCCTCACTTCCCTGATCATTTGTTGGCAGCCACATCCTCTTTTTCTGCTCATCCTTCTCCTAATGAGCTTCTCTGATCACGACCTTTATTCAGAAACCTCTAATGACTTCCCATTATGGACAGGATAAAGTATAGACTCCCAATGTCATTCAAGGTTCACCCACCAGTTGGCTCCCATCTACCTGTCCTGCCAGATCTCCTTTTACTTCTCTTCCCTAGCTCTCTGTTCCAGACAAACTGGACAATCCTTCATCCCTTGTTCATAACCTGACCATCCTCATCTCTGTGTGTTTGTCCATTCCATTCTCCTCCATCCCATCTCCATCTGGTGAAGACCCTCTCCTTTCATTTTTTGTGGTCCAATTCAGATGCATCCTCTTCCCTGAATGCCCACCCACCCACCCACCCTTCACCTAGGTCACGTGTTGTCCCTGACAGTCCTCTTTCTTTCCCTGTCTCTCCACTCTCTAGTGCCTGAATTGGCACCTAAATGGAAGAGAATGGCAGACCAGCCCCAATTATCTCTCTCCCAAGGTAGAAATCTATTAATCCCATTAAGGGAGGAGCAACCAACCTGGGTGCCTGCAGGTACAATCTCAGCCTGTCTCCCAGACTTCTGGCCCATCCCTGTCCCAAACTGGAGCTCAGATGGGCATTGTAGATACTACAACCAAAATAAAGCTAGACAAATTTGAGAGATTTTGTATTTGGATAAACTCAGAGTTATGTATGTATGGGGGATTTCTTGGAGAGACTAGTACTTCCTCATCATAATTTAAAGCAGTTTAACTGCCACTTCCTCTCAGAAGGTTTCTCATTTCTTCAGTTTCTTTGATCTACCCTGGGGGCCCACCAAACATTTTTTGGTGCACCTTCTTATAGATCTACCATGAATTATTGATGTAAGTGTATGAGTATATCCTAGCTGAGCATTCTCATTGGGCCTTCTCCTCAGGAGAAAGAGAAGAACCATTAGGAGGGCCTCCCTAGGGGATGCTGGGACACCTAGCTCATCCATGAGCTAAGTATGCCAATGATTATTGAGTTTACCAGTTATCTACTACTTTAGCATATCCTATACTAGACTGTAGGCTCCATGAGGACAGGCACTCTGTCTTGCAATACTGTGTATCAGAGAGAGCTCTTGGTTTTGGAGTCAGAAGACCTGGATGTCACCCCAGGTACTGTACTTGCCACTCTGGCTGCTTTATTTATCTGACTCTTCACTGCTGGCTTGTCTTTCTTAGCCTCAGTATCCTCATCTGTAAAATGGGGATAATAACCCTTGCACTGCCTACCTCACAAAGCCATTATAAGGATCAAATAAAACATATAACAAGCATTTTGTAAACCTTTAAGCTTATAAAAATGTAAAATATTATCTAAAGTTTGTATTACTCTGAATATCTATTGTAATGTTCTTCATACATGAAGTGATAAATAAATATTTACTGAATTCAAAGAAACATCTTTCTATGTCTGATTTATCACCCATACTTGTTCGGGCAGTGTATAATGGGAAGAGTATTGGCTTTGAAGTCAGAAGGCCTCAGTTCAAATTTGGTCTCTGCTACTAACTACTCCATGACCTGTAGCCAGGTGGTACAGTGGAGAGAGTGCTGGACTTGGAATCAGCAAGGCCTGAGTTCAGATCCAACCTCAAACACTTACTAGCTTTGTGATCCTGGGCAAGTCACTAAACTTTTGTTTGCCTCAGTTTCCTCAACTATAAAATGGGGAAGATAAAAATAACACCTACCTTCCAGGATTATTGTGAGGATTGAATGAGACAATATGTTAAAAGTACAATGCAAACCTTAAAATGCTATTTAAATATTAGCTATTATTAAGTCACTTCTCTTCTATAACAATGAGCAAATGGGATCACTTGGGATTTGTCTTTAAGGTCCTTGGCATTAT